AGATTTTGAGTCACACCAAGGGATTTTGTGAGTCACTCTGCTCACTCAAAGAAAAGACAAGAAAATGAAAGAAAAAGAAAAGGAAAAAAAGAAAACAATAAAAGTAAAGAAAAGAAAAGGGAAAACAAAAGAAAAATAAATAAAACCTAAACTAACCTAAATGCCAATAATGCAATATTATCTATTAGTGACTGAGTTACTATTTAAATATACGGGTGTCCTCTGATTCAGAATTGATCACAGTAAATATCTCAGTTTAAATGACTTTTTAATCATTCATCACAGTGGAAAGGGTAAGTCACTTGATGTGGATGGCAGAATGCAATATTCTGTGAAGTGTTTGATGGAATGAAAAACAGCCTTACTACTTATTATATACTGCACAATATACACATTACACTGCCTACTGAGCTTTATAAATAATAACTAAAACAGAAGGTATGTGATTACAAAAATAACAAGTTTCTTAGAGAAGCATGCAATACAGTAGTTACCTCGTAACCTTACTATATTCGTCAGCTGACCTCAATTCTTTGAGTTTTCGATTATTTAACCTTGAACAGTTTGCATTTTAATGTATATGAATGGGATAAACATGGGGTTAATAGTGGGATCAAAATTAGGATACATTCTGTACTAAGTTGGCGACATAGTGGCTCGGTGTTAAGCACTGTCGCCTAAAAGGTCGCCGGTTTGAGTCCCGGCTGGGTCAGTTGGCAATTCTGTGTGGAGTTTGCATGTTCTTCCTGTGTTGGCGTGGTTTTCCTCCGGGTGCTCCGGTTTCCCCCACAGTCCAAACACATGCGCTGTAGGTAAATTGATTAAATAAACTAGCCGTTTTGTATGTGTGTCTGATTGTGTGAGTGTATGGGTGTTTCCCAGCACTGGGTTGTGGCTGGAAGGACATTCGCTGTGTAAAACATATAGTTGGCGGTTCATTTTGCTGTGGCGACCCTTGATAAATAAGCGACTAACCCGAAGGAAAAAGAATGAACTGTATAAGTCATAGATTTCCAGTCTTGCTTCTAGAGCAGGGGTCTCAAACTCGCGGCCCGCGGGCCATTTGCGGCCCTCAGTGCAATATTTTGTGGCCCGCGCTGACCGCTGTACACTGACAGAATCAGCGGAGCGGGGAGAGAGAGCGCTCCCCGCTCCGCTGATTCTATCCGTACACAGCGGTCACTGGCATTCCCCGCCCGCCGTGTAAACTAAGGGGCGGGGATGCCGGTGACGTCACCACGCACCCCGCCCCTTTGTTAGACACTGTGACGGGCGGGAAGTGTTTAGGAGGGAACTCGCGCCGGCCAGAACCAAGGTAAGCTGTTCCCGCCCCTGCCTGCCACTTAGCTACCTATCTGCAGCCTGCCACCTACCTAGCTACAGCCTGCATCTTATATATATTATAGGTAGATACAGACTGGTACAGACTGATGTGACTGGAGTGGGGTGGGGGTGTTTTATTTATACATATATACGCCTTTTTTTTTAGGTGAGGGAATGGAAGTTTGGAGTGAGTTCCCCCACTTTTTTCCCTAGGACTTCAATAAGTCAAAGTACAGGTCTAGACTTAATGATGATCATCTTCAAGCCATACTGAGGGTCTCAACTGCTTCCGCTCTAAAGCCAAATGTGGTTCAGATTTGTGAGAAGAAGCGCTGTCAAGTCTCTGGCAGCAAGAAGTAGGCAAAAGATGCCATGTTCAGAAGAACTGTTCATAATCTTCACTCAATGTTCTATTAATGTTCAGGACACTTCATGTTCAGAAGAAATAATTAAAACTGTTAATAATGACATTTGATCCCTTATCCCAGCCTTACCCAGACTTTGCCTCCTGCGGCCCCCAGGTAAATTGAGTTTGAGACCCCTGTTCTAGAGTGACGTACAGTTACTGAACCAATGTAAAATACCCAGCTCGGGTATCCAAAATACTGTGTATTTAAGTGTAAATAACTTTTGTACAGTACAATAAAAACCAAAGGGATTCATTTTTGCATAAATTATAGATTCTACACTTTCAAAAGAAACCACTTAATAGGGTCTGGTGCAATGCTAGCCCTTTAAATCTTAAAGCGAAAGTCGATGGTACCGTGTCCGAGGAGTTTAACTGGTTAAAAATGGTGTTTTACAAAATATTTGTCAACTATCCATATACAGCATACACACACTCACACTCTTGTCTGTCCTTTGCTGCAGTATATAGTACAGGGATGTGCAATATAGCACTTATAATAGAATTTCTGAAATGTTTAAGGGCAACAGGGCATCTTTTCTTCTAAATTCTTCTTCTAAATTTACACAAAAGCAGTCATTTTCTGTGCTGCTTCATTCTAGCAAACGGCATCCCGTGACCACTAATTCCATAAGACCGAGAAAGACACATTCTACAAAAAATATGTCAATAAACAATGCATATTCTATTAGCTAATGTGACATGCGTGCCTGTGCTTATTTGTATTTGATTTATTGGTAACATTTGAGCTACAATGCAGTTGAAATATAAGCCCTAAGCAATGACCCGCTGTATTTGGTTCTCCCGCTGAGATCTGTACAATATATCAGTATAATTTGTCATTGCTTAAGGAATGTATTTTAACTACCTCATGTGATGGGCACACGTTGTCTGATTTTTTTTTTTAGGAATAAAATAGTGTAAACCTGCAAATTTCATAGACACTCAGACAGACATTGTGTTGTAATATCATCAAAATATATAACACTTTAAAATAATAAATGTCCATTAGCTAATGTTTGTTTATGTATTTATTCACATCAACTACAAATGACAGCGTTTATTAATCATAGTTCAACTACTACTACAAACGCATTATTAAAATATAAATTCATGCTTGTTAACATTAGTTAATGATGAACAATTTTATTTTCATCAACTAACCTTAACAACGATGAATAAATACTGTAATAAATGTATGGTTCATTGCTTGTTCATGTTGTGAAATATATTAACTAGGGCTGCAACTAACGATTGTTTTAATAATCGATTAATCTGCCGATTATTTTTTCAATTAATCAATGAATCAGATATATATAAAAAAAAAACTTTAATTTCCAACCCTTTATTCAAAAACAGAACTATCTTTAGCTAGATTTCTAAATCTTTAGTTAAACGTACGCTGGATAAATTGGCGGTTCATTAAAAAAATGAATGAATTAATATATATATATATTTCTGACCTATTTTCTCTGCCCCTGGCTTAGTTATGAATGTGTGGCGGTTTTTTATTTATTATTAGTATTGTTTTATCTACTGTACCCTTTGCATATTTGTATTAATATAGTATATATTTTCTGTATTGCTGTATTGTTTAAAATGTTATTTTATCTCTCTGTTATTATTACTCTCATTTTTACTATATATATACACAGTTGAATTCAGAATTATTCACCCTCTTTGATTTTTTTTTCCTTTTTAAAACATTTCCCAAAAAATAAAAAAAAAAGGTGGGCTAATAATTTATATATATATATATATATATATATATATATATATATATATATATATATATATATATATATATATATATATATATATATATATAAACAAAATCAAACATGGACAGTCTTAAAAAACCCTTTTGTATGAGGAACTACTTTCTTCCGCGTTGGATTCAAATCATAAGCTGACAGTTAAACAGCTGAGCATGTATCTTTTAAACTTTAGATCTGTAGAGTCTGCTTTTTGCTGGCTGTATGTGGGCGGAGTAATACACAAAGGGTAAAGAGGCTGTACGGGTGCTGATATTATATCACAGCTGTATATTATATCACAATATATATCACAGCTGTCAGCCAATCAGATTCGAGAACCAGACAGAACTGTTGTATATATAAATATGTGTGTGTGTGTATATATGTATGTATGTATGTATGTGTGTGTGTGTGTGTGTGTGTGTGTGTGTGTGTGTGTGTGTGTGTGTATATATATATATATATATATATATATATATATATATATATATATATATATATATATATATATATATATGCTTTATTTAAAGAGAAAGAAAATGTGAGCAAACTGTGTTCTGCTGCTAGATTAAAGTAGTTAGTTAATGTCTAATGATTCTATGTATTTGATGCTGTGGCTCTTTATAGTTAAACTAAAATAATTGAAGAAAACACACACTATAAACTATCTATGTGAAGTTTATTTATAAACTAATTTTGAGAGGATCACGTGCTTATGATTGCTTGAGTCTGGTCCCGCATTATACAATTTATGGTTCACCAATCAGACGATTCCTAAGCCACTATAAATACTCTAAGTTCCATATAACAGCCATCTTCGTTTTCAAGAATCGCCTCTTTCACGCCTACTCCTCCTCCTTTCCTAGATGGGTGGCACAGTTGCCCAGTGGTTAGCACTGTTGCCTCACAGCAATAACGTCACTGAATCTAGTCTTTACCAGTCGACATTTCTGTGCGGAGTTTACACGTTCTCCACATGCTCACGTGGGTTCTCCCTCATTTCTCCCGGTTTCCTCTCACCTTCCAAAAACAAACAACTTAAGTTAATTGACTAATCCAAATCGGCATCATAGACATGCTCCTAGTAAGTAGTTCTCTCTTAAGAGCAATCACTATCTGTTCATTAGCTACTACAGCAGGGGAGTTCTCCAGATCTACCTGAGCTCAAACTCCCCTCTTGCCTTACAAACAAAAGGGAGCCCTGGGTTTTAGGATCTTATGAGCTCAGGGCTCTCTCCCGGGACAGCATGCCAAACAAGCTTTAAAATCAATCATCAGCTAAGTGTGAACTCTTGAAGAATATTTATTGAACATCAACGTTGAACAACTAAAATTAAAGCTAACATTGTCTAAAATGAACAGTCACATGACTCCTCATGTGGTTGGGAAAGCAATCGTAAAATTCGACCTGGAAGAAATAGATCGATTATTGGTTCTGAATGTTGATTTCGATTACTTTTCGATTATTCACCCAGCCCTAGTTTGAACAAGTCATTTTTTTGTAAGTGTAAGATGTTTTCCAGTATGTGAACTGATGTGTTTCCTCTTTGTGTTTGTTCCTGTCGCACACACAGGTGACATCAGGTGCAAGGGGATGACCGAACGCATTCACCACATTAATCTTCACAACTTCAGCAATTCTGTACTTGAGACCCTCAATGAGCAGCGAAACCGCGGGCACTTCTGTGACGTGACTGTTCGGATCCATGGTAGCATGCTGCGCGCTCACCGCTGTGTGCTGGCTGCCGGCAGCCCCTTCTTTCAGGACAAGCTGCTCCTGGGCTACAGCGACATCGAGATCCCCTCTGTGGTCTCGGTCCAGTCCGTCCAGAAACTGATCGACTTCATGTACAGCGGCGTGCTGCGGGTCTCCCAATCCGAGGCCCTGCAGATCCTCACGGCTGCCAGCATCCTTCAGATCAAGACAGTTATCGACGAGTGCACCAGGATTGTCTCGCAGAATGTGGGCATTTCGGGATCTGGCAGCTTTTCGGTGGTCCCGGGGGACTCGGGGCAGGAGACGCCGCGGGGAACTCCGGAGTCTGGCACGTCTGGTCCCAGCAGCGACGCCGAGTCGGGCTACATGCAAACATCTCACCAGAGCGTTTACTCCTCGCTTTATTCCAGCTGCTCGGGGTTGGGCCTGCAAAACGGTACCCGCGGAAATCGCTCCCACTATGCCGGCGCTGCGGTGATAGCCAACTACGACTCGGCCTTGCCACTGCAGCAGAAGGAGGCCGGGCAGGACCCTGCCTGGATCACGCGCATCCATGAGCGTTCACAGCAGATGGAGCGATTCCTGTCCACCACCGAGACGACACACTGCCGCAAACAGCCCCGTCCTGTCAGGCTCCACCCAGGGGACATCCACATCAAGCAGGAGCAAGGGGACGAGTTCAACTGCTATGGGATCGAGGATTGCCGGGAGGACGGCGAGCCATTGGAGTGCGTGGAAAGCGAGCCCAAAGGCGAGAGCTTCGACTCTGGCGTCAGCTCTTCCATCGGCACCGAAACCGACTCCGTTGAACAGCCTTTCCTGTCTGGGTTCAACTGTCCGAGTAAGGGCCAGCAGGGCGAGCGTGGGACCCCGGTGCAGATCGAAGTCAATGATTCCTCCCCCGAGCAAACCCAAGAGATCATCGAAGATTCGAGCGGAAACGGTCCTACTCAAGAAAGTGGCGAGATCGGGATCCATCAAGCCAATCTAACAGCTCCCCAAGTGATGCCCGGTGGGCCGTACCTGCGGCCAGGTGAGCCGCTTACCAGCAACCTACGTATGCCCCTGACCCTGACCAGCAACTCCCAGGTAATGGGAACTGCGGGCAACACGTACCTGCCTACGCTCTTCGCCACCCAGTCAGCCAGCGACAACAAGCCTTTCCTCTTCAGTCTGCCCCAGTCCATCGGGAGCCAGCAGCCGCAGTTTGTGGCCGTCCCCTCTCCCAACATGCCTCCGTTCCCCGGCGGGCTGTCTGTGCCGCCAGGAGGGAGTCAGCAGCAGGGCGGTGCACCGGGGGGACAGCACGGGGAGAAGAAGCCGTACGCGTGCACTCTTTGCTGTAAGACCTTTACTGCCAAACAAAACTACGTCAAACACATGTTCGTGCACACAGGTAAGCACTCTTCAATTCTCTATGCTAAGTTAAAGTTAGTTCACTTTCAGAGTTAAAGTACTTACTTGTTTCAAACCTGTTTTTTATTAAACCAAAACACAAATGGAAAAAAAATGTAATATTGTAATCTAGATTACTTAAAATGTTTATGAATAGACTAAAACTTTTTCGAATAATTCATTTGGATGTATTACGTCAATATTGATTTAATTAGTCAGCGACAGGAATACAGAATGCTGTCAGTGTAACGGAGGCCAGCTAGTAAGTGCTGTGCAGGTAAACGTCACTCCTCTGACCTCTAAAGGTGCTCTAGCGACAGACTCTAGAGGCCATGGTCTTTAGCCTCCTTGTTAGAGCAACCGACTCCCATGCGGAAGATTGCCAGTTCGATACCAGCTCGGAGCGGGTTTCGGTGGCGTAGAACCAGAGGGGTTACATCAAGTTAACCGAAGATCGAAAATTCCGTCATCATTTACAAAAATTCAACAAAGGCTCATTCTGAAAACGTAGCCCTATATACATTTCTGGAGATCGCAAATTATGTAGCCAGAAGTACGTATGGCTGCATTTCATCTTTAAAATTAACGCCACGGGGCGGTATGACAGCGTTCCTGTTAGCGCTTACCAGCTGACTGCTAACCTATATATGGACGCCTTTCACGATGTTGCCAGTTTATCCTGTAGCTCACCATATATGTCATCGGAATTGAGACGCAGAGAGGAGTTGACCTAACAATGAGGTTTGAGTCCAGCAAAAATGGTTCTAGAAAGTGGGTAACAGAAGCCAAAAAATTAAATAAACAAGTAAATAACAGGGTGAAAACGTGGTAAAAATCAGCCGAGCGCTTTGCTTGATTGCTTTTTAAATCTGTCGGTTGGGTTTAGGGAAGGATGAGGGTGGGTTCGTTGATCAGTTAGTCAGTCGACAGCGGCCTCTGGTGGATTTACGTGAGAACAGGCGCAAATGACACGAGAGAAGTTTGAGATCTGAAAAAGCGTACACAGCGCCCTCTGGTGGATTTACATGAGAACAGCAGGCGCAAATGGCACGAGAGAAGTTTGAGATCTGAAAAGCGTACACAGCGCCCTCTGGTGGATTTGCAAAAACAAATACTGCAAAAAAAACATAGCTCCTGGGATGCATTTGGCACTCTCCAGAAATGTATATAGTTTACAATATTAATCAAAATGTATATAAACGTTTTCAGAATTAGCCTGGGATGCAAAAATTACTGAACATAAACAAACAAAAAATCTGATATGGCTTTCGATTTATGGTTCAACAGAAAAATAAATAAATAAATAAATAAATTACTGACCTGGACAAAATTGAAGGATATCAAAAATTTAGTCCACGTCTAAAAGACAAACAAATTCATGTCTGGATATAACCTATTAAACTTTTATACAATGTATGGCTCCAACATGAAACGTATGTCATAAATGCAAAATATATTTAAAAAATGGCTGTTTACTCAATTACAAATGTGACCCTCTATCATAAGTAATCAGGGTACATTTTTTTAATTAAGATTTATACATAACCTAAAAGCTGCATAAACAAGCTTTCCGCTAATGTTTGGTTTGTTATAATAGGACAAAATTTGGCTGAGAGACAACTACGTCAAAATATGGAATCCGAGGGTTAAAAAAAATGTAAATACTGAAAAAAAATTGCCTTTAAATTTGTTTAAATAAAATGCATTTACTAATCAAAAATTAAGTTTGAAATATTTACAGTAGGTTATTAATCATTTGGAAATGATTCCTCAGTTACTCGACTTTCAGCTACAGCTCAGAAGCACTGAAATATGCATTATTCTCACACACAAACACACAAAAAGTGAGGTGTTTTGTTTTTGAAGCCTGAAGGAAGGAGACCCTATGCCATGTCGTGGGTGCACCTCTACTAACTTACAAACTGAATGAGTGTTCAGTCAGTGCATAGCTTAAGGTATCACACGTTTCAGAAAAAAAAAACACAAATGTGTGCAGTTCCTTTCTTCTCACTTCGGAGAGCACAAGTGGGATTTCTGCTGTTATAAACTGCAAACAGTACCAGTGTTTGCTCAAACCATATCAGCAGACAGTAAACTATGCTTAAACAATATCTGTACATTCCCTGTTAAAGGGATAGTTCCAAACCCATTTGAGTGTTAAACACAAAGTGAAGTTTGTTTATAAACTAATTTCGAGAGGACCACGTGCTTATGATTTATCACGGCCGGTCTCGCATTAGCTAATCATTATCTTCCAATCATACGAGCCCTAAGCTACTATAAAGAACCACAGTTTTCAGTCTACTTTATCTTCGTTTGGAAGAAACCCCCCCTTCCTCCCCAATTCTCCTTCTTGACCATTGATCGGGCAGCACGGTGGCCCAGTGGTTAGCACTAAGAGCCTCACAGCAAGAAAACCACCGGCCTAGTTTCGCCTAGCCGGTGGGCGTTTCTGTGAGGGGTTTGTATGTTCTCCCTGTGTCCGCGTGGGTTTTCCCCGGGTTCTCCGGTTTCCTCCCACCATCTAAAGATATACATCATGCTTAAGAATCAAGCACACTTTAGCCCCCTTCTCAGGTGTTCCCTTAGCTATCGCAGCCGGGGAGTTCTGAGATCCACCGAGCTCGGGCTCCCCTCTAGCTCTGCGAACGGATCCCTTGAGCTCGGGGCTCTCTCCCGGGACAGCATGCCAAACAAGCTTTGATGGATCATCAGCTAAGTGTGAACTCTTGAAAAAAGATGTTTTGAAGAATGCTGGACACCTGTAACCATTGACTTCTGTACTTTTTGTTTTTCTTTCTTCAAAATATCTTCTTTTGTGTTCAACTAGAATGGAACCACTTGAAGGTGACCAACGTTTTAATCACTTTCCAACACAACCTAAAAACATCCAAATATCAACGCCTAATGATGTTACAGTTTGATGTTGTGTGACGTTACCACTATGATGTCTATCAGACGTAGGATTTTGGTTGCCTTACCTGAATTTTGGTCACTTTTCAACACCTAAAATCAACCATATATCAATCATCGTCATTGGACATGAAAATAACATTGTCCTTAGACGCTGACAAGACATTGAATTTTGGTCATCCGACATCACAACCTAAATCTAACCCAATATTAATGTGTTATGAAGCTGTGTGCCCGCTGGGAAGTCCTTAATAGCTATTTTCCCTATTATAAAAAGTGCAAACTTTACACAAAATCAACTTTCAACCTTAAAGAGAGTTTTATAAACCTTTATAAGTTTCTTTATTGTCTTAAACACTAAAGAAGATATTTTGAAGAATGCTGAAAATCTGTAACCATTGACTTCCATAGTAGGAAAAACAAACATTTAGTCAATGGTTACAGGATTTCAGCTTTCTTTACATTATTCTTCTTTTTTTGTTCAACAGAGGAAAGAAATTGAAACATGTTTGGTGAAGTAAATGGTGAGTAAATGATGACAGAATTTTCAGATTTAAGTGAACTATCCCTTTAAGTAACCTTGGCCTGACAGTGCCCGCTAGTAAGCTGCTCCTTTTTCAACTGATTTTGCAAACTGTGTATCATCATCAGATCACATCCTGAACCCTTTTCTTGAGCCAAAACTGTTCTGACTTTGTTTCCCATCATGGAAAGATATCCCTCCTTTAAAGCTGCATTCAGATGTGGCTACAGTATAGTTACATTCAGTCAGATCATTATAAATAAATTCAGTTTTCTGGCTTATGTTCCTTTTTAATGATAACTAATGTATTTCATAAGTTCTGTAAATGTATGCACTTATTACCAGCAGACCAACATACATTAGTTACATGTATTTAATTAATTGGTCTAATTAGCACTAAAAACATTCATTTTCTTTTGGATACCAGCAGAAATGTCTGCCTCACAAGCTTAATGTAATTACTGGGAATAATAATGACCACGAAAATGACTTTAAAAATTGTATTCATGTATTTTATTAGATTTATATATTTAATAACATATTTAAAATACATATATACATTCACTTTCCTTCAGCTTAGTCCCTTAATTATCAGGGGTTGCCACAGCGGAGTGAACTGCCAACTTCATTCATTCATTCACTTTCTTTTCGGCTTAGTGCCTTTAATAATTAGGGGTTGCCACAGCAGAATGAACTGCCAACTTCATTCATTCATTCAATTTCTTTTTAACTCAGTCCCTTTATTAATCAGGGGTCGCCACAGCAGAATGAACCGCCAACTTTATTCATTCATTAATTCATTCTTTTTCGGCTTAGTCCCTTTATTAATCAGAAGTCGCCACAGCTGAATGAACCGCCAACTTCATTCATTCATTCATTCATTCATTCAATAAATTTCTTTTCAACTCAGTCCCTTTATTAATCAGGGGTCGCCACAGCAGAATGAACCGCCAACTTTATTCATTCACTCATTCATTCATTTTCGGCTTAGTCCCTTTATTAATCAGGAGTCGCCACAGCTGAATGAACCGCCAACTTCATTCATTCATTCATTCATTCATTCATTTAATCAATTTCTTTTCAACTCAGTCCCTTTATTAATCAGGGGTCGCCACAGCAGAATGAACTGCCAACTTTATTCATTCACTCATTCATTCATTTTCAGCTTAGTCCCTTTATTAATCAGGAGTCGCCACAGCTGAATGAACCGCCAACTTCATTCATTCATTCATTCATTCATTCAATCAATTTCTTTTCAACTCAGTCCCTTTATTAATCAGGGGTCGCCACAGCAGAATGAACCGCCAACTTCATTCATTCACTCATTCATTCATTTTCGGCTTAGTCCCTTTATTAATCAGGAGTCGCCACAGCTGAATGAACCGCCAACTTCATTCATTCATTCAATCAATTTCTTTTCGGCTTAGTCCCTTCGTTAATCTGGGGTCGCCACAGCAGCATGAACCACCAACTTCATTTATTCATTCATTTATTCATTTTCTTTTTGGCTTAGTCCCTTTATTAATCTGGGGTCGCCACAGCAGAATGAACCGCCAACTTATCCAGCATATGTTTTTATGCTGCGGATGCCCTTCCAGCTGCAACCCAGTACTGGAAAACACCCATACACTCTTTCATTCACACACACACACTTATACACTATGTACAATTTAGTTTGTCCGATTCACCTATAACGCATGTGACTGTGGGGGAAACAGGAGCACCTGGAGAAAACCCACACCAACACGGGAAGAACATGCAAACTCCACACTGAAAAGCCAACTGGCCCAGCTGGGACTCGAACCAGAGACCTTCTTGCTGTGAGGCAACAGTGCTAACCACTGAGTCACCATGCTGCCCTACATATATACAAATATTTCTGAATTTTAAAGAGATGTACACACACACACAAATCTTCTGTAACTAATGTGTTCAGACTACAAGCTCTTAATGTTAGATTAGTTTTATAGTCATCATCAATGCAAACATCAGATGTGTTCTTGATGAGGAAAAATTTCAGTATGTTGGCTGTGCCGGGCTTACAGATTTTAGAATTTTACATTGCTGTTGCTAGGCAACCGCGCAGCACTAATTAATTCAGTAATTAAGATTAATACATTTTGCAATATTAGTAGCCTGCAAAGTTCAACTTTTCAGCGAAGGTTCCAGATGTTTTAAAAAGCAGGAATATGACAGAAACAATCTTTTTTAAAATGTGCAATACAAATTCAGCTAAATAATTTGCGATGTTGAATGCATGTTAAATATTGCACAAAAACATACTGGCAAAAAAAAAATAAGGATGTGTGAAATTTATTAAAATAAAAATAACAAAATAAAGATGTGTGAAATTTATTAAAATAAATATTTAAAAATAATAAAATGAGGATGGGTGAAATTCAATAAAATAAAATAATAAAATAAAGATGTATGAAATGTGTTAAAATAAATATTTAAAAATAATAAAATAAGGATGTGTGAAATTCATTAAAATAAAATAATAAAATAAAGATGTATGAAATGTGTTAAAATAAATATTTAAAAATAATAAAATAAGGATGTGTGAAATTTATTCAAATAAAAATAATAAAATAAAGATGTATGAAATGTATTAAAATAAATATTTAAAAATAATAAAATAAGGATGTGTGAAATTTATTCAAATAAAAATAATAAAATAAAGATGTATGAAATGTATTAAAATAAATATTTAAAAATAATAAAATAAGGATGTGTGAAATTTATTAAAATAGAAATAATAAAATAAAGATGTATGAAATGTATTAAAATAAATATTTAAAAATAATAAAATAAAGATGTGTGAAATTTATTCAAATAAATATAAAAATAATAATAAAATAAAGATGTGTGAAATTTCAGGTGTGTAAATATGATTATATAATATTATTATATTGTTTTTATTACATGTAATGACCTGCACTGCAAAAAATGCTTTTATACCTTTTTTATCTTGTAGTCCAAATATCAAAAAAACTCTTAAATCAAGCATTTTCTAGATGAGCAAAAAGTAATGTCTTGTTTTAAGAAATAATATGCCAAAATTAAGTGAGATTTTTCATAAAACAAGCAAAATAATATTCCAAAGGAGTAAGCAAAGTAATCTTATGTCAAAAGGAAACTATTATTTACTCACCCAATTGGCAGACTATTTTGCTTGTTTTTTAAAGAAAATTTTGACATATTTCTTAAAACAAGACTATTTTTATGCTTGTCTAGAAAATGCATCTTGATGTAAGAATGTTTAGATATTTATATTAGAAACAAGCACAAAAATCTAGCTTTTTTTGCAGTGTGCAATCAAAATAAATACATTTATATAGTAAGTTTACAAAAATAAATTGTACACTATACTATGTAAATGATGTAACAGGGGTCTTTGTAACAAATGCATATATATATAGGGGGTTGGGGCTAAACCGCTTATCCCTTTCGACCCTAGCAACGCCCCTGGTCAGAACCCATATCTACATCGAACAGGCGTTGGATTTTGGTCACTTTCCAACGCAACCTAAAAACAACCAAATATCAACGTCTAATGATGTTACAGATGTATGACATAGATACTGTCTTCTGTTAAACACTAAAGAAGATATTTTGAAGAATGCTGAAAACCTGTAACCATTGACTTCCATAGTGGGGGGTTACAGGTTTCCAACATTCTTCAAAATATCTTCTTTTGTGTTTAACAAAGATTTAAACATGTTTGGAACAAGTAAATGATGGTAGCGTTTTCAGTTTTGGGTTTAAGTAACCTGCACATACACCTGCTGCTGTCTGAATCTATGACAAAATAAATATAAGGATGTGTGTGTGTGTGTGTGTGTGTGTGTGTGTGTGTGTGTGTGTGTGTGTGTGTGTGTGTGTGTGTGTGTGTGTGTGTGTGTGTGTGTGTGTGTGTGTGTGATAATGGTTTCTGCAAAGACTTTGTTGAATACTTCCATCCTAAGGAGTGTGTGCTCTGTGTCCTCTTTCAGGTGAAAAGCCACACCAGTGCAGTATCTGCTGGCGTTCGTTCTCGCTGAAGGATTATCTCATCAAACACATGGTTACGCATACAGGCGTCCGAGCGTACCAGTGCAGCATCTGCAACAAACGCTTCACCCAGAAGAGCTCGCTCAACGTCCACATGCGCCTGCACCGCGGAGAGAAGTCCTACGAGTGCTACATCTGCAAGAAAAAGTTCTCTCACAAGACCCTGTTGGAGCGCCACATGGCCCTGCACAGCACCGGAAGCGGGGTCTCTGGGGTCTCCGGGGTCAGTGGCGCAGGGAGCGCCGGAGGCCCCGCGTCCATCCCTGTGCCGATGGCCGTCCCGGAGCCGGGAGCCGGAGTGGTGGCTCTCGCCATGCCTGTGGGAGGGGGCGTGGCTGGGGGCGGAGTCGGAAACGCCGGAGTGGGCGTGGCCGCAGAAGCCAGCTGCCAGGAGGGGACCACCTACATGTGCTCCGTGTGCCCTGTCAAGTTTGACCAAATCGAGCACTTCAATGACCACATGCGCAAGCATGTCTCCGACGGATAAGTACAAACGAAAAAAAAAACTCACGCAAACATGAAAAGAATGAAATGATTAAGAAAAACGGCACTAGATTTTTTTTTCTTATATTGGGGCATGAAGAGTAATGAGTATAGACACTGGCACATTAAGTTTTTTAGAGAAAAAAAAAAGAAGCGTTTAATTTTTTTTCTTTCCTTTTTTTTTTCGTCCTTGCTATTCTTAAAGAATAAAAAAAAAAGATGGTGGCCTTAAGGCTGAGTAGTTGGATAATGATCCACTGGCTGGATCCATACTACTGGCCTCTAAATGTATGCTTTCCTTAAATACTGATTTATGTGTTGAACACTACCGAAAGGCCTGCGAAAGAACACACAAGAAAAAAAAAATTCACATGCGCGCGCACACTCGGACATACGCAAACACAAATACACATACCCACGCATGCACTCACACGCACAAACTACTTATACACACTTATATATGGTAGAGGTATTTTGTACGTATGTGTATTTGTGCATGTGGCGTGCGTGTGCACAAGAATAAGCATTGCAGTGAATTTTTTAAAACTTGTAGATCTTTTCCCATGTAGACCGTATTGGACACTATAAGCGTCCAAGCTTACTGTGGTATAGATTTAAACCAAGAAAAAAAAAAGCTAAAAAAAAAAAAAAGAAGTTTTGGCTCTAGATTCATTCTAAAATAACGATGGTCACATGTTTGCCTTTTTACGTGCGATAAGAATAGGAGAGTTGTTCGATTTGACACTGGGTTTTTATTTATTATTATGGCATTGAGGGATTATGATGATGTTGTCGAGGTACAAGCCAGTTTTACTAACTGTACTAAAATGGGAATATTTGAGTGGCTTGCTGAATGAATGACTATTATGATTATTATGACGTTTTTCCTTTTCTCCCGCCACCCTCTTTTTTCGACGGTTCAGGTCAAGTTTACAGAAAAATTCAGACAGTATTCGAGCAAAAACACTTTGAATGCCGTTAATAATTTCCAATTGGTTTTGCATACACTGCCACTTAGAAGACGACTGTTAGTTCTTCCGCTTCAAAACGTTTCATTCGCTCCATGGTTCTGTTTTTTCAACCAAACAAACAAACAAAAAAAAAAACAAAAGGAAAATGGCAGATTTCCGTATGCAAACAGGCCCAGAATCCAAGTCAACTGCTGCTCCTCACGTGCTCACTTTGAGACTGTTATCAGCTGTAGAATCCAACATTGGAGTGGATATGATTCTCAGTGAACATGCGAACCTATGTTAAGCTATCTGGAGCCATGGGCTAGATTAGATCAAAAGTCAACCAGGCAGAAATAAACGCATAGAGATGATGTATTTCCTGTTAGCGCCGACTACTATGACTCAGTTGTTTGGGCCGGTGGAGCGACACAAATGCACTACTCCTGTTCCTAAAGCTCCACCTAGTGGCTCAAACAGCCGTTTTTGTTGGGCTGTCCGCCTGGCAGGAGATACATGCGGGGCAGGAGAGAAGGAAGGGGACAGATAATAGGCAACAGAAAACAATCAGAACCATAATAAAAGCAACACGGTCACTCAACTTTAATATACCACAGACTCTCCGAACAATAAGAAACATTCCCAACTGTACTGATATCTAGACATTGTGTGTGTGTGTACTTTGGAAGTGAGTTAAGAGGGTTGTGTTTTTTTGGTGTTACGTCACTCAGAAGCTCTGTGTTCATATTTGGCTTTGTTATACACGTATTTTATGGATATTATAAAGACTCATCTGCCGTGCAACTGCAATCTGGCAATTTTGCTCGCTCGTTTAGGTCGATAGACCTTCGAAGACGATGACAAAATGTATCAATGGCAATTTATCCAGACTTTTATTGGGTCGCGTAAGTTGCCGTTTCAAAATAAAAAAAACAGTGCTACTTTGCACATTTTACTTCGAGATCCTGTGCTTAAACGTTGAATTGTTTTACTTAAGAAATTAAATTCTATAATTTTTTTTCTTCTGTTTTATTTTTCGTCATTGTTTATAAAGGAAATATCTTTTCTTAAAAGCTTGATAAGAGGACTGCATTGTTTTCTTGCATATATGTTGCACTGCTTAAACCAATAAGTGCACTACTGTTACCAGAGATGTTCTAGTTTTTAGAGATAATCATTTTTTTTTTATCAAATATTTGGTTCTACTATAGTTCACTTGTGTTTGAGTAGCTTTATTTCGGATTAGACGATTCAGTTTTTCTTCGGCTTTGTTATCATCACTTGCTATTGTATTTACTTTGTGCTGTTTATGCAAGCTTCGTCTTTATTTATATTTAAACCATTGTGAGCTGGTCAGATCCTAACGATGTATCGCTTACACCACTTCCATCCCTTCCCCCCCCCCATCCCCACACCAACCCAGTGCAGTTAAAACTCATCCAAGCGAACGCTCGGCTTTCTTCTCATTCATACCAAACTTTTAAAATACACAAAAAAAAACTAAGAAATAAGACAAAAAAATCCATAAAAAAATCACAAAACCACAAAAAAGAATTGTAGTGTGTGCCTCAATATATGATAAATGTCTTTTAGAACAAGTACGTTTCTACGAGAGGGTCGTTGTGCAAAGCTTTTTAGTGCTGTCTAGGGATCGAGCACATTCGCGTATGTGTTTGTATGAGCATGTGTGTTTGTGCGTGTGCGTATATTCCTCTGGTATGTCTCTCTATGTGTGTGCTGTACAATTCGTGACGCCTGAACTGTAGGGCTTCCTTTGCAATATGCAGTACAGGTACGGCAACAGTGACAACACGTTCTTTTACATACTTAGAGTGCATTCGGTGACCTTCTCGAGAACAATCATCGCTATATTCCCTGCGATTAGCAACACCAGGAACATGATGCTGTTAAGGCCCTCTCTTGAAGTCAGAGTGGTTAGATCTGTGATCTGCAAAACGCGCCTGTTGAATATCCTTCTGCAGAGCTTCGAGACCAAACTATTTTAATCGATTATGCTGAAAAAGCTTGTGTCGGTCCGAGGAGTTCCTTGGACTAGCATATGCGTTTTTGTTGATCACTTTGAACCAACTTTCAGATCTGTTTATTTTATTTTGGGTTTTTTTTTTTAGGGGGGATCTGCATGTGGTGCTACAATTTGGCCTAACCTTTGGAGTAGTCGAGGAGCGAATGCTCTGTTGGTTACTTTTGGATGATTTTTTGGTGATGGTGGCGGTTCGGTTGAACCCAGTTTTATCCATTTAGAGCATTGCTCTCAAACTCAATTCCTGGAGGGCCGCCGCTCTGCATAGTTTACAACCAACCACCTCCAACTCACACCTGCTTAATAGTCTAGTAGTCTTGAACACCTTGATTAAGGTTGGAGCAAAACTGCAGAGCTGCAGCTCCATGAATCCAGGTTGAGACCTATGATATAAAGTTTTGCTGGATTTAAATTAAGGATCAATTCCCAAATTTGGGGTCAGAGTTCATCGGAAGCCATTTTTCATGCACATCTTGGGGCCGGTCGTATATCATTTGTGTGCTCACGTTCGTTGTTTTCCCCAGTGCCGGCCCAGCAAGCATTTCTTGTTTTTAAAAGAAGCCTAATGGATGTCTAATAGACGTCCAAATATTGTCGTCTTGGCTAAAACAAGGCTAAATTTGGGCTGTTAGTGAGACGTCTAAGAATAGGCTAAAACTAGACTAGTCATCAAATAAACAGAAATGAATGACTACACATAAAGACTGTCTAATTGACGACTAGTCTAGTTTTAGGGTATTCTTAGATGTCTATTAGATTTTTAATTACAGCCCAAGTTTAGCCAAGCTGTCTATGTTTAGATGTCTATTAGGCCTCTATTAAACACACCATTGTTTGCTGGGGGATTCCAGCTGGAAGGGCATCCACTGTGTAAAACATATGCCAGAGTAGTTGGCGGTTCATTCCGTGGTGTGATGCATTCACCTTTTACAGGTGCACCTACACCACAGGAAGCTGAAAACATCCCAATTTTTGCAAGTGCACCTCATGTCATGTGACTAAGAGCAAACTAAATTTCACACTTGCATGGAATATAGACCATTTCAATGTGGGGATGTCAGTGGCTCTTGGGCATTTTTTGCTGGTTATACTATTTCAAAACTATAACAAGAGGCAATTCAATCATAACTTAATGTGAAATCAGATCTCATAACATTATTTATCAATGTGTGGCTCTTTTTGGATTCTCGGAAGCTACAGAAATTAAAAATGTATACAGGAAATACGTTGGGTCCATTGTTTTGGTCTACATCCCTCAAAATGATCACACTTCAGTAAATACGTCACACAAGTGCTGAGCACCCCAAAAACCAATTGACATTTTCTCCATAAATAATACTTTTATATATAGCAACAGCAAGGGATGTTGAAGCTGTGAACAGTCTGAAGAGCATTGAAATTTGCGAAAAAAATCTACGCAGATTGCGTTTTCAATGAAATGATATGCGAACGGCCCCTTTGTCAGTAAAGCCGGTTCTAGTAAATCTCCAGCACATTTTTTCTAATGAAGCAGCATTTACTAAAGAGTCATAGATTACTGACAAGCTGTGCAAAATCCTATTCAAAATATCAGATATTTTAATTGGCCGCTAATAAAATTAAAATAATCAGGTTTCTTTCCTTCACTTTCGTTAATCCGTGAAGTTTGTTCCTCACCACTGTTGCCACTTTCTTGCTAGGTGTGGGACTTGCAGAGTTGCGCATCGATGCAAGTGTTTGGTCGCAGTGAAAATTAAACCACACTGAACTGAACTTCAACTCTGAAAACTGAACTGCACAGCCTCAATTCACTAGAACTTCTATGTTCAGCTGCTTTGACACAATCTACTTTGTAAAAGCGCTTTGAATTGAATTAATTCCTGTGATAATGGCAATGATATTATGTATTATAAATGCTGCTACATCTGAAAGCATGTAAAATGGCCACATTTAATAACGTTTTTTACTCCGAACTCACTTCATAACTTCAGTCTAGCGTTTGAAATGAATCCTTCTGTGACATTCTGATTATTCGTCACACAGACTCAAAGTAAGCAGGTAAATCTTGTCTATATGAAACACTCTGGGATTTCCTGGGTTTTTTCTTCATGGGTGTTCAGAGTTTTCACACAAGAGCGCCCCCTGGCCTTTGGAGGAGGTTTACTGCTAATCACAGAACCATGTTTCACTGACAAGATGTGCATGATATTTTATAGCATTTCGAGGCAGAACTTTGAAGTCAACATTAGCATTTCAAGCACCTAATGAGAGCAGATAAATCAACATCACTTCCGAATGGTTCACTCAATATAATATTATTAATTTGGGAGGGGGTAAACCAAAAAAAAAACTAGCTACATTGGCCATCAGCTGTGTCTTTACAGATAGCCTTAATCATGTTTGCATCAAGCAACCAAATGCACTATTGCTTGTGACGGTGCTGTTGCAGTTTATTCTACACAAGGGATATATATTTAAGAGAAGGGCAGAGAAAGAAAAAAAAAAAGCGACCTTGCAATACAGTATTGGACAGTTGTCTGGTGATGGTTATGAAGGACACACGCGAATAGCTACATGCAAATTGCTAATTTCTGTTCTTCATCTTGGTATGGATTCATAACCACGCATTTTGCGCCACAGCATCACCGGTTCTAGTATCAGGCTTCATATCCGAAAGCCGTCTCATCTCGCTCGTGTTGAAGTGCTATGAGGCTTTAATGTCCGATATTACTGTTACTCTGTGTTTGTTCATATGTAAAAAGGAAAAACAGCAACTACAATGGAGAAGACGAAGAAAAAAATAAAGAGTTTTATTTCACAGAGACTTCGTTTAGCCAAAATTGTGTAGTTTGTGAAAGTGTACAAAAAATCTGCACGAAGATAATGTTTAGACACAATTCAGAAGCTTCAGTGTCATAGTCTACTATCCATTGCATCTAGACGGGACGGCGTTTCTTGTGGGTTCTTCAAAAGCACTATGACGATCACTTCTATGGGTAGTTCAGATAGACTTTTTACATTACGTACAGTATATATTTACATGTAGAGTAGCTTTTATTTTTGATTCTGCTTCAGAATGGTAATTTTACAATACATATTAATTTTTCTTCAGTGTACAGTATAGATACAGCATTCTCTTCGCTATTAGAGTAAGTTGGGTTTTTTTGTCGTAGGACTACCACCTTTTCTCCTTGCTTTTTAACAAAGGTACATTTTTTTAATTCTTAATTTATAAAGAAAAAAAATATCTATTCCTAGAGTATAGGCTTGTGGGCACAGAAAAAAAAAACGTTGGAAAAAAACATCATTTATATTTACAACCCAGGCTCATTTTAATTACATACCCCAGTATACATTTCTGGAGAGCGTCAAGTATACGTATTTTGCCATTTCTGTTTTTCACGAATCCACCAGAGGGCGCTGTGTATACTTTTTAGATCACAAAGTTCTCTTGCGAGTGTCATTTGCATCTGCTGTTCTCACGCAAATCCACCAAAGGGCGCCGTGTATGCTTTTTAGATGTTAAATTTCCCTCGCGAGGGTCATTCGCGCATGCTGTTCTCACGTAAATCCACCAAAGGGCGCTGTGTATGATTTTTAGATCTGAAATTTTTCTCGCGATTGGCATTCGCGCATGCTGTTCTCACGTAAATCTAACAGAGGGCGCTGTGCATGCTTTTTAAATCTCAAATTTTTCTCATGAGTGGCATTTGCGCCAGCTGTTCTCTCGTAAATCCATCAGAGAGCGCTGTGTACGCTTTTTAGGACTCAAATTTCTCTTGCAAGTGCCAATCCCGCCTGCTGTTCTCATGTAAATCCACCAGAGGGCGCTGTGTACGCTTTTTAGATCTCAAATTTCTCTCGTGATTGGCATTCGTGCCTGCTGTTCTAATGTAAATCAACCAGAGGGCGCTGCCGACTGACAGATCAACTGATCCCCTCACGCTTCTTCTTTTCTAAACCCAAACAATAGTGTTTTCAAAAGCACTGATTGACTCAATCACCCACCTCCCAAAACCCAAACAATAGTGTTTTCAAAAGCACCGATTGACCCAATCACCCACTTCCCAAAACCCAACCAATAGTGTTTTCAAAAGCAATCCAAATAAAGAAAAGCCCTCGCGACTTGATTTTTACCATGTTTTTAAATTTTACCACATTTTCACCTTGTTATTTACTTGTTTATTTTTTAGCTTTTGTTTTTGTCTTACCCGTTCTTCACAAGAGCGGTCAACGACACTCTGCAAGTCTGCCAAGGTGCGTGTCCAGCTACTGTACAAACTAGTACAAACATCGAAAAGCTGTCCATAAGCACTCAGCTTGTAAGCGAGAAAAGGAACGGCGTCATACCGCCCCCTAGTGTTCAATATTAGGGACGAAATGTACTTCAGGCTACATAATTCGTGATCTCCAGAAATGTATATAGAGCTATGTTTTCAAAATGCGCCTATGTTGGATATTTATGTATGAGCAATCTTTTCTTGTTGTTTTTGCTCGCTTAACAGAGTTGAATGACTGGTTTTATCGTACGCTCAGAGACTAAGCTTTTTCATAACATACACAAAGATACTGCGCATCCTGTAATAAATCTGGATTTTTTCAAAGTAAAAACTGCAACTCATCTCCATTTCGAAAAACAGTCAGACGCATTGAAATCGTTCATCTCGCAGTTTTTATTTTCTTCTAACAAAACAACAACTTAATCTAACCAACACGACGGTCAGAACAATTCCAAAACGAGATAAAGTATCCATGTCTTCATCAGCATCTACAACAGATCGTACTGTAACCAAAACAACACCTAACACTGTACACGTGGAGTTTTACAATGCCTCTCCTTTGTAGAAGAAAAAAAAACTAAATGATGAAGTGCCTCTTTCTTACAGATCCAAGCTTAATAAAGCTCACAATAATACTGTTATTTTTATTCTGTAATAATAATACTTCACAAAACCGTAAAAAACGAAACAATCACTGCCTGAAAAACGACACACACACACATATATACACATTGACAGATCCCTCTATGAGGCAAGTATGAGGACTACCAGCAATAATAATTACAAAATAGATCCGAATGGTCACGCAAAAAGAAAAAAAAGAAAACATTTGAAGGACCACTAATAAGTAAGGGTGTTTTATTGTGTTTTAACCCCTGAAATCACCAAAATGAAGCTTGTTTTATATTACAATATACAATGCTATATTGTGTCCAAAGTGCCCCTGTCAAAATTAATAAATAATAATAATAATAATAAAAATAATAATGCATATGTTTTAATTTCCTATTTTTCCAACCTGCCTTTAGAATTTTATAAGTTGCGTATTTTTAATGCCCTGTTGAAAATGTCTGCATTTTCAGTATGCAGTTTATTCGACGTTTATGTATGCGAACGAAAAAAAAAAACGAGAAAAAAAACGTTCTTCCTACTCTATTCTTCCTCTCTTCTTTCCTACAGATGCTGAATTTGCTTGAGATGATGACGTCTTTCCTTTCAGAGATGTTAATATGCTTTTTGAGCAATTGTTGTTATACATAATCGACATGATATCGTGTACACCGTAATCAATATTGCGATGGTTTTATGTGAAAAAGAGGTCATTGTTGTTCCGTGATAAGCTTTTGCTGTCTGAGGGTGAGGTTTTTTAGCGTT